CTTTCTTTATACTGGTACCTCTGAATTTGTCTTTGTACATGGAATGCCACAATAAGCTCTTGTCCTGTCTCATAGGATCCTTTCTTGACTAATGCTTGCTGAGGCCCACATTTCTGTTCAGTGTCCACTGTGGATGAGATTTAGTTTATCACCTGATTCAATCAAATACGTCGGTTTTGAATTTGCAAGCATTACTTGTTTCGGGCCTGGCCCATGTTTGATGGTATTTCAAATATGCCCACTTCTTTCGTCTCTGGTCTTTTGACAGGGGATGGAGACTACTTATTTTACGACTGTTGAAAATGTTGAATGTGCTTATTTTGATCAAGTGGAGAAGCTACAAAACTACGGGTCCCAGAATGGGGAAAGTATTGCTCAGTTGGTCTGGGCCTTTTTCCACTACTGGGCTTATTGTCATGATTATGCTAATGACGTTATATCAGTTCGTACTGGAATCACACTGAGGTAAAAGTTAAAGTGAACAAAAAAAAAAAAAATTGAAATGAAGTGGTTTCAACAAACACACATTTTTTTTCACTATCTGGGAGTAAAAAGATGTAGTTTGGCAGAATATCTGACAAAATATCCTCGTGCTTTCACAGCAAGAGAACTAAAGACTGGACGAGAAGGATTGGGAATGATCGACACTTGATATGCATAGAGGACCCATTTGAGTTATCTCATGATCTTGGTCGTGTGGTGGATAAGCACAGCATAAGGGTCATTCGTGAAGAGTTCGAACGTGCTGCCGAAATAATGCAGTACGATTCTAACCCTTGTGTGACTTTGTTCAAACCCTATGCGCCCAGCTAATATTAATTACAGTTTGTGTGAAATGAAATCTACTGGTGAGTCTCTCTATGTCCATTATTTCCATTGGTTCTCTTGGGTTTCATCTCTAGCCTACTTGAGACTATAGCCTATGTTGTTGTTGTTGTTGTTGGGATTAAGTTTAGTTATTTCGTGGTCTAAAAAGTTTCGCAATATATTATCTAAAATTTCAACGTAAGTTATATATACCTTGTATATTGCCAAATTTTGTTGAGCTGCATTATATTTGGATTCATACTTTCGGAACTAGCTAAAACTATGTGTGGCGTTGGAATCGACATGGGCTTTAATTGGGTTTAGAAATTGAGGTAGAAATTCTGTTTAAGAGTTGAGCCTTTTAATGTTAGGGCTTCTAATTTTTCGTAATTGGGTTTTGCATATCGGATTTGATGTCACTTGCAGCTCTATATTGTTTCACAAATGTGTGTATTTGCAGATGTAGAAATTAAGTACAATGGTTTAATAAAAGAAAACTGGAGCTGGTAAATTAGGACTTGTTTGTATAATCCGCATTTTATATAGGAAAAGTCGATAGTTTTCACTCGGTCGAGACTGTCCGTCCCTTTATTTTCTCTTTATCTGTAGTGAACTGCTCAAATAACAATAGCCATGTTCTTTTATTTTCTATTTTAAATTTTTTTATCATGATTAAATCAATTCAAACTGTGTTGACCAGATTCTCTGTTTCAGTTTCATATTATGTTATGTTTCATTTCATTGGATAATGATAGATGAACGAATATGATTTCATGTGCATGGGTCATCTTCTAATTGAATGAAGTACAAATTTTGTGTTTCGTTTAATTGGATAATGATAGATTGACAGATATGATACTATGTACATGGACCATTTTTTAATTTAATGAAATACATCAATGAAACAATGAATGAAATATGAAATAGTTATACACTAGGAGTGCATGCTTGTTTACAAATTATTTTATTTTCATTCAATTTGTACTCAAAATCTAACTCAACTTTAATTCAACCTTACTATCTTTAATATTATTCATATAATTAAATTATACAAACTAATCATTCTTACACATCACATCAACTTTAATTCACTATTCATCTACTTACATAATTTTAACTATCTATCATTTCCAATCATTTTCAATCATTTATCTCCTACTTTTACATCAAATCAATTTTAATCATTTTATTTTAAATATTATTTTAATATATTCTTAAAATTCTACTAACAATTAATCATACAACCTTTTTCAAAATTAACTATAGTTAACCGAAATAACTTATTTTGAACAAATTATTCCATAAACAAGTGTCCACAATTTATTTAGAGGTAGGGGTAATTTGGGCATTTCAAGTTGGTGAAAATGGCTTTGATAGTCACTTTTACTTAACTGGTGACTTAAGTTGAATTGGTGCGGAGTGAATAAATGCTGGTGTATTTTGGTCTACTTGGGTTGCTGACATGGAACTACCCCGCTTAGTAGAAAATGATCAATTATCAAAAAATCATTAAATAATATACATATGTTATAATATTTCTCTTTAGGAACAATTTTTTTAACATAAATTATAAAATTAATTTTTATGTCATCCTCTGAATACCATAAATGTACGGGCTGCACCATGGTATGTTTAGAACATATTTTGGCAATATCCCAGAGAATGCAATGTGCTTGAAATTTGTATATAATATTATTGAATAACCGAAATATAACTATCTGAATTAGATAAACGCATGTTGGAAGAAGAGAAAATATTTATCACCACACATACTCGATAATTAGAGGGAAAAAAATATAGCTTGACTTATTACTCAGTGCCAAATTGCAATTTTATAATTAAATTACGTGATTATTCTGATACTCAAGTTTGAACCATTGTTTTTTGACCTGGACCGACTCGGCGGGTCGACCCGGGACCCAGTCGACTTAGAGCCGAAACCGGTCTGGGTGGGCTATTTGGATTGGGTAACAATGGACCCGGTCAAACTCAATCAAAATCCGGCCAACCCGGCCTTGATCCGGTCGACCCGGGCCATTGACCAGACTGGGTCAACCCTGTTGACCCGGTCTCTATGAATTTTTTATTTTTTATTTTTTTTATATAAAAAATTAAAACTATATAAATATAATGATATAGTAAATATTTATTGTGAGATACAATATTATTAACATTTAAATGTACAATTTTTGTATACAAAACATTTATTTTTGTTACTTTTATGTATATTTATGTCAAAAATACTATATTTATAATTTTAAAAATTTTATAATTAATTATCCGGTTCAACAATTGACCCTGTGACCCGACGGTTGAGCCGATAACTCGGGGGCGGTTGAACCGGTAACCCAAAGACGGGGGTCAATTTTCAGGTCGAGTTTAAAAATTATGGTTTGAACCTTTATTGTGCGAGCCAATAAATGAGTTTGAGTTCGACTTGTCTATAAATATTAACGAGTCAATGTTAGATCTTAACAGGTCGAGCTCGAACATCAATGAGACAAGGTTTTATTTAGAACGCTAATAAGTTGAGCTCACAAGTGACCCAATATT